AAGGAGAGAAGGGAGGAGGAGAGAGTAAGTGAGGAAGAGAGTGAGAGGAAAAGCTGGTGCTTAGTTAGATCGGGAGTGAGATTTTGGATGGGGACCATCTTTCCTCCCCCACCTGCTCTAGTTCAGTCCTCTTTCACCTTGTCTAACCCTTCCTGTCTGTCCTTGCAGCCTGTTTTGTCTGTTTCTTAGTTCTGGTTTTGTGTTGTTATCTACTTTAGTCTGATTTTGTCATTGCAGCCGCACTGTGTTTTCGTTTGGTCAGGCTGCTCTAAAAACTTGCTGCCAGTGTGAGAGTGTGACATTCGGGTAGGACCGATGGAGGTCAGTGTCGAAAGGCAGGCGTCCTGGGGGGATGGCAGGGAGACGGTAGGGGTAACCACTGGTGCACCCCAGTGGCCCCTCCCGGTACCCTGACCAGCTACGAGGTTGGGGAGGGAGACGAGGACCATCAGCTCTTGGTTCCAGGTTTCGGGTCATGCTCACACCTGCTCAGTCAATGCTCTGGTTCCCAGAGCAATCAATGCTGGCAGGCATCCTCACGACACCATCCAGTTTTTTCTATGCATCATTCTATATCAATTTCAGTATGGGACGCTGGACCCGTTTTCCAGCAAGTGATGCTCCCCACCAATAGATGGAGCCTCTCCCCAGGTGCTAGCAATGTCTGTGCTAAACAACATTGCTAGCACTGGTGGGTTTGTTGTTAAAAAAAAAGGGGAAAAAAAAAAAAAAAAAAAAAAAACTGGTGAAAAGGGTAGGCAGATGGGCAAGTAAACAGCGTAAGGCAGCAGGGGAACGATAGCAAGTCAAACAACAACAAGACAAAAACAACAACCGAAAAAAATAAAATAAAAGCTGATGATAGATTGTTTCGTCGAAGTTGCACCGACTTATCAGGAGGCTGAATTCTCGACAATCTACGGAATCCCCGTATTTGATGGTTTGGGTCATGAACCCTCTGACCCTTGTTGAAGGCAGACTGTCCCCAAGAGGAACATAGCAGCGGGCAGCAACCCTGTGAAGCACCAGGCAACACAGTAGAGGCAACACGGCTGCACAACGCCAAAAACGACTGCAAAGAACGACATGGCACACAGGACATGCAGTGCGGCAACCGTGCAGTGAAGCACAAGACAACACAAGCAAGGCAACAACACTGCAGGGGACGACAGGGCGAGTGGACCAGCAGCTAGGCAACCGTGGAGCGGAGCACAAGGCACCAGCAACAAGGCAACCAAACTACAAGGTACACAAGCGGCAAACACAGAAGGTACGGCCAGCGGATGAGCAGCACGGCAGCAAAGCACAAGGCAACACCAACAACACGGCCACACCACGCAGCGAACACAGCAATTCGCAGAGAGCCACATGCGAAGCAAGCGGGACAGGCAGCCGGGCAGCGGCGGATCGCAGACGAGGACGTCCACACATCCAACACGGAGCAAAGCAGCCCATGACCTACTCACATCACGATTGAACCCCGCAGACTGTTGGTTCCCACCACCCACTGAGCCAGGGAGTCACTCCAACAAACATCCGTCGTCACCTACAGGCAACACAGACATCCCGAACCGAGCGGCCCCCATAAGAGTGCAGTAGGCACTCCAAACGAGGAACCACCGACTGTCTGGCACTACTTAAGGGTGCTCAGTTGGGTAAGACAAAATACTTTTTTTTTTTTTTTTTTTTTTTTTTTTTGTCCAAGGCTGATATTGATATTTGAGAAAATTGAGGCCGGGGTGCTCACAGTCTACCCGGAGTAACCAGACAGAACATGCTGAGAACCGGGCCCAGCGTCCCTTAGGAGTTGAGAATAGAAACTATGTGCCTCTTCACCCAACCAGGGTGCCAAAAATTTAGAAAAAGATCAGGGGAGAACAGACAACAACAGGAAAACAAACAAACATATAACTGATTGTGTGTGTGTGTGTGTGTGTGTGTGTGTGTGTGTGTGTGTTTGTGTGCCGGGGGGAGGGGAGGGAGGACCCCTCCCGCACCAATCAATCGATCAAAAAAACAATCAATCAATTAATACATGTTATTTTTTTCTGTTTTTTTTTTTTTTTCCTTACACCAAAAACCACCCCCCCGAAAATTATTTTTTTTAACTTTTTTTTGTTCGAGGGGGTAGGGTCGGGGTTCAGGAACCCCAATCCAAACCCCCCACCCCCAACCCCCTCTCCCCTTGGTGGCGGCGGGCTGCGGCAGACCGCGGTCTCACGACCGCGGCCGCGGGGGATTCATAGGGGAAAAGCAGCCAGGGTTGGGAAGGCGCCGCTCATTCTCGTCATCCACAAGGGAGGTGCATGATGCTGGCATTGCTGGGTTGGAGCATTATGGCGGGTTGGATGCTCCTGGGGAGCGGGCGGGAGGAGGTGCCCCCACAGTGCCTGGTTCACGTGTTTTGACTCATGGATTGAGGGAGGTGTCATAGATCCTCGCCGATTCCTCGGGGCTGAGGTGGTGGGGCCTCCTAGAACGAAGAGGCCCACACGACAATGAGCATCACGCCCGATTGGTGAGACCACAGGAGGCGAGGGGTTGGAGATGATGCCAGGGACACGTCGCATGAACACCCTCATATCAGCTTCACGAAGGCAGATTAGACGGGGCATTATGGTGGAGGACGACGATCATACAACTGCCATTTCGTCAAAATGGACATTGTTTATTATTTGAATGAAATTGAAACCGAGTTTTTTGGCCGAAAACTCGTCCAAATTTGCTGCTCCTGATGGGGCATTATGGTGGAGGACGACGACCATACAACTGCCATTTCGTCAAAATGGACATTGTTTATTATTTGAACGAAATTGAAACCGAGTTTTTTGGCCGAAAACTCGTCCAAATTTGCTATTCCTGAGGGTCCGGCGTTCTTAAAATGCTGGACCCCCTGGATGTATATGGACTTAGGTGGAGACTAGATACATCCAGGCGGTCCCCCCTGGTGGAGCCAAAATGAAGGTGCGTCGCACTCCGGAAGCTCTCTCTCTCTCTCTCTCTCTCTCTCTCTCTCTCTCTCTCTCTCTCTCTCTCTCTCTCTCTCTCTCTCTCTCTCTCTCTATGTATATATATATATATATATATACACTATAGTACTATCATACTACTATGCATTAGAAAGGAAAACACACCAAAAGACTTTCAAAATTTTCCTTTTTTTATTTCTCTTGCATACTAGACTTTGGGGGCTGCTGCCCCATGTTTTTTTCTTTTCTTTTCTTTTCTTTTCTTTTGAGCCTCGTAAACCCCGCGACCTGGCCGCGGGTAGAGTAGAAACGAGTACAATGGGGTATTTGTACATACATACAACACTTTGTACGCGAGTACAAACGTTTTTTTTTGTTGCATAAAAGACACGCCTAGGGCGCGGGCCTTCTTTCAACTGGTTCCGCCAGCCATTTTGCTCCAGTAGGCCGATCCCCGAGACTTGTGGCTGCATGCAGTCCGTGTTGGAAAAAAATGGCTGGGGAAAGTACCGGTGGTTTAAAAACTCCTGGCGACTATTCTAATCACTTCAATTTGTCAGCTGCAACTTCACTTGTCCCCCCACTGGCCCCCAGTACCAACCAACATGAAGGCAGGATATCTCTGTATTTAGCTATGGGTTCATTATTATTATTATTATTATTTAATTATAAAAAAAAACAAGGAATTCATGATCATGAAAAAGCTATGGTTTTTTTTTTTTTCCTCAAAATTTCAAAAAGCAAATCCCCATTACTTTCGATATTCCGAGGCCGGGAAAGTTGTGTGAAGACAGTGAAGTTGTGAACCTCAACATTACTGGCCGTAAAGAATTGGAAGCATCATCCAGCTTAGCTTACACTGCAGCCTGCGGGCCTCAATGGAGTAGACACCTCGTCACGGCTCGAAAGCTGCAGCCTACTCAGCTATGGGTTTGCAATTTTGTAAGGCCTAATATCTCTGATTTAAAAAAAAAAATTATCCGACCTCAATATCCGAAAGGTAATTAAAAAAAGTCTAACAGTTATTAGAATTGTGTGTAGAGAAAACATAGAAAAATTTTAGAATTATAATTCAATTATTACTAATTTATTAGGATTGAGTGTCAAGAAAACATGATCATTATTGTGAGATGAATAATTTGTGAATAAGCCCAAGGCTGAGGGCTCACTTTGGAATCAGAATTTCCATCAGGGATTTGCTTGCAATCTCGATGAAAATGCACTCCAACTTGAAGTGCATTGAGAAATGCAAATTTAAACAGAATCCCGCCCAGGTACCCAAGCCATGGCCCAGCAAAAGGGTCCACGCAGACCCCCTTTTTTTTTTTTTTTTTGGCTTGCTTTTCCAAGAGAGAGAACTTGCTTTCTGTCAGAGAATAAGTCAATCCGGATCCGAGTCCCGAATTTCTCTGCAGATACCTCTTCAATCTCTCAGGCCCTACGTACACTAGCACTTTCCTAAATGTATGACTGCAAGTACGGCCGGACCCGGACGCATCTGACTGCAATCACGTCCAGACCTGTGTCAAAGAAGTCCTCGTGCCAGTGTGACTCCATCTCACAGCACCCCTACTAGCCTTAAAGGAGTTTTGTTTAAAACAAAAAAAAAGTCCTCATGTGGGTATAGTGCCCTCAGATTCTACAGATATGTGTCCAATCTGCCCACTGCCCAGAGCT